TTTTTTTTTTTTTTTTTTTAGATTTTTAAAAAGTTGATTTTTAATCGATTGGGAATCAAACCAACAACCTTTCAGTGCACTAGATGCCACTCAACCAACTGAGCCACACTGGCCGGAGAGGGAACTTTTAATTTCCACCGAAGCTTGAGTTTCCCCCTGAAACACTGAAAATTTCTCGCCAGAGCAGAGTGGACAGGCACAGAACAGAGCACAGTGCAAAGCAGACCTGCGAGGAGCACAGCAAAGCTGTTTAGCCAGAGAGGGTCCTGGCCCCAAGGCTGCCTCAGGGCCATGCTGTTTTCATAGCCGTGCAAATCGAGCTGTCTTGCGCTGAATAAAGTCGCCTTCTTCACAGCACCCCACACTGGGGATTCTTAACACTGAATTGGCACCAAGGACCATTGGTAGACAGCTCTAGTCACCCAGGGAGAACTGAAGGCCCAGAGCAGGGAAATGACCACTAAACGTGGGGCCTGGCCAGGCTGTCCACTGCACCCCGGCCCAGCGCAGCATCTCAGAGGGGCTTAAATAGGATTGGGGCAGGGTGCTAAGGAGATCACTACCACCCACCCAGGCCCAGACAAGCCTCTCTTTGTTCAAAAATAAATGAGCAAGCCGAGGGGAAAAGATTCCAGTCTGCAGTGACTGCAGCAGTGCCCACGGCATGGGGGAGAGCCCACATCTGACACGTGCCCACCTCCAAGGACAGGAGTCAGCTGTGGGGTCACCTGCAGTGTTCATAGTAGAACCTAAGAACGCGTGACCATTGGGAGCACTAGTTGGGGAGGGGGGAGAAGTCCTATAAGGAGCATGTATTTATATTTTTATAAACATTTATTTGAACCCAAAAGAGGGTGCACCTGGAAGCAAGATCTCAACAGACTGAGGTAAGTGCTTCCATTTTTATAACGAGGTTTAAAAAAACCCCAAAACTTAATCTAAAACATCACCCAAAAGGAATCTACTCCTCCTGCAGCAGTGAGCAAGGTGAGTGAGGTCTGCCTGGCTTGGAAATGCTGGCTGCACCCCACTGTCCTGGGAGGTCACCTCCTCCCTTTGAAGCTCCTATGGGGCCATGACACCTACCTGCTGATGGGTGAGGATCCTATAAATTCACCCTCTCATTGTTTCAAATGGATTTTACCTTTTGAGCCCTCAGGGGTGGAACCCTCCTGACCTCTGCAGAACTGCCCACGGTTGCTCTTAAGACTGAGATCAGTCTGAGATCGTCCCTGTTCCAGTCCTACCTGCAAGATTTCTTCAGCTGAGCCTTCAGGCCAGGGAAGGAGGTGGACCCAAACTTCCGGGGGGGCCCCCCTCCCCCTCCCCACCCCGGCTGAGACATCCCACAGAGGAGCAGTCCTCGTTGTGACCCTCACTGACCACTCCCCACAGCCCAGGACCTTTGCATCATTTCTCACTTAACCCTCACACCCCTGGGCTTCTGTACCATGGAGTTTGTAGATGAGACAGAGGCCCAGAGAGTGATCAGGGGTCCCCTGACCGGCAGGACCAGGGTCCCAGTGATTCCTGCTCAGGTGAGTTCAGAGCCCTTCAGGCTCCCGGGAAGCTGCTCTAGACACCTCCTGGCCCCACTGGGGTGGACGCCCAGCACCCACCATGTCTCAGAGGACATGTGGGCTAGGGGCTGGTCCTTCGGGCTCAGGGCCGTGCTGAGGGGGGGGGGCTCCGTGGTGAAGCCAGAGCCTGCCTCCTGCCTGTCTTGGCCCTTCACGAGGAGTATCCCAGAGAGAAGGGCTCTCGAGGAGGGACAGCCCTGCCTCCTCCCTGGCATGCAGGCCCAGGACAAGGGACCTGGTCTGTGGCTGCTGGGGGGTGGGGTGGGACGGGGCCTGCACTGTTCCCTGGGCCTGAAGGTGCCCTGAAATTCAGACCTGTTAGTGTAACCAAGAATGTCTCCCCCACGTCCACATCAAGGCCTTTTCCCGAACAAAGACTGTCCTTTTACAAATCCCCTGAGCTTCCTAAACTGATGGGGCCCAAAGCCAGTCCTTGCAAGGCCATAGGGCCTCTGGGCTGCCTCCCTTGGTGCCACCCCCGGGGCACCCCCCCTCTTTCTGAGTCATGACTGGTCACCAGGCACCTTCTAAGAAACCAAATCCTTCCCTGCTGGTTCAAAATCTAGATCTCTGAGGCCACAGGGCCACCCCAGCCTCAAGAACCTATTTCTGAGCCGAAGCCAGGTGTCTTTTTTTTTCTTTCTCAATCCTTACCTGAGGGTATGCTTATTGATTTGAGAGAGAGGGGAAGGGGGAGAGAGAAAAGCACTGATGTGAGAAACTTCGATGGGTCGCCTCCCACACGAATCGGGCCCGGGGTTCAAACCCTCCACCTTCAGGAGTGTGGGCCGAGGCTCAGCCACCCGAGCCACACCTGCCCGGCAGGCGAGTGGTCTTTTCAGTGTGAAAGTGCTGCCTCCGCTCACTCAAAGCCCGACGGTTTCTGCCTCGACCCCGTCGGAGCCCTCGGCTGCTGCACCCTCCGCGCCCCTGCCTGTCGCCAAGCTGCCTGCTGTCCATCCCCTGTACTTGCCGCACTCTCATCTCACCCCTTGGGGACGCAGTGGTCTAAAAATACATCCACAATTTAAAAAGAGTATATGTCTTTATTGATTCCAGAGAGAGAGGGAGAGAGAAACATCAATGATGAGAGAGACTCACTGATCGGCTGCGTTGATTTTTTTTTATGCTCCTCCCTGAGGACGTGGACCTTGGCCCCTTCCCCTGGCGCGTGGGCTGGACTTGGTGACACTTCTGACGGATGGAATGTGGTGGAAGGAGGAGCGCGACGCCGTAGGTGGCTCCTGGCGCACAGTGGGGATCCCCTGCCCGGGGAGGGACCAGCCGGGCCCTGGGGACACGGGCAGCTTCCCAGAGGCCTCCTGAGCCAGCTGCCGGGGAGCCTCCAGCTCGGTCACTTCACCCCTGGCCGGCAGGTCCCCTGCAGCTTCCCACGACCTTGAGCCAGAACCCCCGGGTCACCCCCACACTCCTAACCCCCAGAAACCGAGGATCGGTGTCATTCTAGGGCACTAAGTTTGGGGCCATTTGACCTGCAGCACGTAGCTCACGGGGCTATTCCAGGACCGACCAGCAGGGGCTC